ATATATATATATATATATATATCTGGAGTGAGAAGTCGAGTTTAAAAAGTGAAGTCAGTTTCGTGTTATCCGCGCAGACAAAAACATTAGAAAGGGACTGGAACTGACGGCCAAGAGCTCCTTCAATTTCAGCCATCTTGGCAAGGAGTGTGCCGAAAATTCGTATTTTGACTTCGATTTAAAGAATAACACTATAGGGTTTTATGAACTCAGTTATAACTTGGTTAGCGATAAGGTCCGTTAGAAAAAACTGAAATTAGTACGCACTTGTTAGAGCGTTTATTAACTTTCCACTTAATGGTACATGCATGGTATTTGCTCTACTTTAAAGTAGATACATTGTAAAAATACTATTTGGTCAAAACAACCGAAGCAATCTGTTCTACCAGTGTACCGTTCGAGCTAGCCTGCCATACTATTTAAGGTTTGTGACACAATCGGTAATTATATATATTGTTTGAGATGCATTGACATGAGATTCTATAATAATCTACATATATCGTTATTAACCTAAGTGTAAAAAATAGGTACGCTAAAGCGTACGCCTGGGTTATAGCTTCAGGATATTGTCATAAAATATCTAATGCGAGAAAACAGAATGTAATAGCAAACTTCACAATAGGATGAAGACAGTGCTTTTACAAATGTTGTGCAATAATAACCATATACGTATATATTTGAAGTTAAATTCTAAAATTTGACTTGTTAAGTAGGAAATTAACCACACAATTTTTTTTTAAATATTGACGCTCGTCTTTTACCACTTTTTATGAATGTCTAAAAATAGCCACGGATTATTTAATTCGCCGATGGGAAGCGAATGAATGCGAAGGCGGTAAAATATTGCGCTGAAATATTTTATTCCTAAAAGACAAACGTTTTAGAATTCTTATGCTTAAGCTCATCGCGAACTCAAAAAACGCTAAACAGTCAAAATGTTTACAAGGTAAACACAAATAATTTTTAAAGGGAAAAGATGAACTATTAAGCATGAAAAATGCAAGGTGTCTTATGATTGATTAAAATCGCGAGGGCGTTCTCTACCCACGTTTGCTACTCCACATGTTAAAATGTGTGACAAAACTCCGTTGTATAATGTTTAACCACGAGTTGGTCAGAGTTCCCTAAACAAGTATTGTTTATTTTTCACATAATATTTTCATATACTTCTACGCGTCAGTGGTATACTTTCGACAGAGACCTGTGTTTTACAAACGTGTGTTATTGAGAACAGACATAGCTACAAGGACTTCAAGGAGGTTATTTTATTTCACGCATTTCTGTGTATTCTTGTACGTGATTAAAAGTTTATTTGGATGGCAACTTAGTTTAACAAGCGTGAGACTCACAGCTTTGAGTTTTAAGACTTTAACAGTGAATTATTACTATTCAACATTTTTTTTTCATTGATCAGGTGTTAAAATATTCTAAGTTCTGTTGTCAACTTACGCGTGTTTGAAAGACAAGACGAAGCGAAGCTCAACAACTCCTTATCCTTGGCTGGACTGGACTTACTTTTAAAGATGAATACAGGTTAGCCGAAATAATAAATTTCACCAGAACATTCTACTAATTTACATCGCTTATGTAATATTCATGTCCTCATAGATTGGGAATGGATTAGGGTTTGGATGAGGGTTTAGGAGTTTATCTTCAGCTTAGGATTGAGTTTGGGATTTGGGTTCCAGAGCCTCTCAGCCGCGCGCGTCCTCCCTTGGCCCTGAGACACACGGAACCGGAAGTGCAAGAAACTTAAGTAGTTTCTAAAGCGCATGCTATATATATATATATATATATATATATATATATATATATATATATATATATATATATATATATATATATATATATATATATATATATATATCCGTCAATTTGTCATTGAAATCTACATACAGTATAATTTCGTAATAAACCTTTAAGTTATTAACTATGTGCCGAACGTTGATACTTCTTATATCCGTTGGATGGTTTGTTAGACGCATTGCCTTTTATAACACATTTTATATCGCATTTTATAATATAATATATATATATATAATATAACACATTTTATATCGCATTTTATAATATAAAATATATATTTTCTATTTACTTAAATAAGACATTCCTGTCTTCCTTGTGTATTGGTAAGCCATCGAAGATATAGAGATGTAAATGAATGATAGCGGTGAGCCATTAGCAATTCTGCCTGTCGGTTTGTTTGATTTTCAAAAACTTTATGAACGCAATAAGATTCACGCGGCGACCACAGTGCCTGTAGAAAATGCTACAAATGATTGATTGTGCTCCGTTAGAGCCCAGTTTTGTCTCAGAAAACTGCGAAACAGCATTTTCAAAATTTTGTTTTAAAACTGGCGTTTTCTATCTTTGTATGAAAAGCTATCAAGTTCAGACTTGTATAACTGCTGTTTAAACTTGATGACAAAATTATGTAAACATGCAGATATCGTCTTAGCTATATATTCATGACTCATTTATTAATGCGAGACTCTATGGGTTCTTCCCTAAATGTTGATTATTCCATTAAGGATAGGGTATTCCTTTTTTTATAGCAATATACAGATAGTGTAAAATCTTATATATATATGTAAAATCTGTAGTATTGAAAGTAGTACATGATCAATAGCTCGCTATATAGGCTCTATATAACGAAGCAGGTGTCATATTTCCATCAAATGTGCAAATCTAATTGGACGGAGACATTGGGCAGATGTTGTATAGCTTCTAACAACATCCCGTGTGACTCAGAAAAAGATTATATTCTATCGAAACGGAATGTATAATCTTTTGGAATATTGAATGGTCTCTGTGGCTCTATTTCATGACCCATGCGTGAGATAACAAGGCATTATTAAACAAAATGGGGTATCCTTTAATGATACTACTCAACGATCACACTTAAATACAGTTGTCATTGTTCGCTGTGTAGTGTGGTCATTACACTTAACTTCTACGGACGCCAGACTTATCTGCTATTACAGCAAGCAAGGCCACGAAACATTTCTCCGTTTCTCCACAGAATATATTCCGCGACACGCGAGCAGTAAATTTCCGTGCTCTCAAATTGGATGATCATAGCTGAGCTTGGCTTGTGTGTTTTCCTCTCATCCAAGGAAGGCCGTATTTGCCCGGAATCATGGGGAACTCCGTGAAACCGTTTCGCGAAGAATCGTGGACAATTAAAACGACAAAAACTACAAAACGGAAAGTGATCCGACAGCGCTCGACAGGTAAAATTATTCGTATACATGCTTATAAATGACAGAGAAAGATGCTTTTGATTGGGGTTTAGAAAGCGACGGCTTATTAATTTACGAATAACTTATATACAGAGCGTTTAGTGCGCATCTAAGTTTCACTTGTTCACTTGCACGTCTCAGTTTTTGATCCCGCATACAAGATGAATTTTATGTATAAAACAAATAGATATTTATCTTTGTGCAGTAGTAAGGATCACTCGATAAAAGATGCAATATTTCCAACTTGCTTCTCGCCTCATGGAATGGACTACATTTTAATTAACCTCGTATGAAAATGCTTTTACCATTCCACCATTTCATTGTCTCTATACATATACATTGTTTGGTGTTACTTTATCTATATACAAGGCTTGAAATATTTAGATATTTATATTATGCCGCAGGATGTTAATATTCATGCAAGTACAGTAATACTTGAATGTCAAATATGGCATGCAGTATTTTACCGCGCAAAATATTCGTAACAGACACACCGTCATTTATGTTCCTTCAACACAGTCCTTACTGTACCGAAGAGAAGGTACAACACAGTCCTTACTGCACCGAAGACAAGGGTAATATAGAACTGATTAAGCTGTACAGGATGAAAACGTCGGTTTAAATGCCGTGGCCTGTGGATTTTTTCTAATAGATTTTTGAGGCAAACGTTTGTATTTGCGCATAAGAATGCAAGTTGTTCCCTTCCTTTTCGTGCGAATTATTTTTGCTCAGTTTTTATTTTCGCGCTATATGGTCTGCAAGGGAAGTATGTATTTTAACATAAACCAATACAGCATTACAGACACTGTAACGAAATAACTCTTTGAGCTCATAATGAAAATATTCTTTCTGGAAAGTATTTTTAGACGAAATAGTTATTATCATTAGTCGAAATTTTCTCATTTGTTAAGCATAATTTATGTACCGACACGTACGCACATTTCAGTTGTTTATTTTACGATTCCCCGTTAAAGAGAATTATTGAATGCTTTCATTGCTTTGTCAATATACACAGAAGAGCCTTGATGCTTCTTTAATGCAAATTACTCCCGCCGTTTCTACGGAAATATTGGTTGTCAAAAACAACATTCGAATTGAATTTACATATATGTCATATTGAAGACACTTGATTGTAAATACAAGTCATTTTCAATTGTTGTTATCCACACAAGTTAGAAAGTCTCCTAAGGCTGGATATATCGAGAGTATAAATACTACATACAGTGTGATTTTAATAAAGCAAGTATTTTATTATATTAGACGACACTAAATGTTCGTAATGGAATATTAATGAAGCTCACTTTTTTGCATATATATAAGACCATGTAAATATAATAATATTAGTATTTAGTTATTATTGTTACTGCATGCCTGACGTCACAGAAGCATGATTGCGTGCGCAGAGGACTGAGAACAAGTTACATTATATAGTGGGCAATATAGCCATATACATTGCCATATACATGAGGCATCCTCGTTCCCAGGGCCTCACGGCCGCGCGCGACCTGCATAAACCCTGGGATACACGGAACCAAAAATGCAGGAACAACTTGCAGTAGTTTCTAAAGCGCATGCTCTTGAACTGGGACACTTCAGCACCCGTAACAATTTTCACACACAAGTATTACGGTGTATTTGTGTTGACATATTTTCATAGAAAAATTTTCCCTAGCGAAAATTGCTCAACTTCTGCGAAATAGCAGTTCTCTGAGAAGCCAATCAGATCTCTCCCTTTAGTCGTCTAACCCAGAGCCTAATTTTCAACGAGTGACCGAGTGAAAATGGCCCTGAGAACGAGGGTGTACGCATTCTCGTACCCAGAGCCCTTCTTACGCGCGGTGCGACGAGGGGCTCTGGCCAAATCCATAACCGGATACCTTAAAAACATGGTAAGAAAACAATATCCTGTGTTAGAACTAGCCAATCAGATGCCAGTTCGGAATATGGATTTAGCCAGAGCCCGTCGTCGCACCGCGCGTAAGAAGGGCTCTGGGTACGAGAATGAGGGTGTTTAAACAGCTGGTGGCAATTTCTTATTTTATCCCACAGCTGTTAGCGTCTTCACTTCAAATATATTCTGTTTGTTCTGTACTTGAAACTAATGCATGTCTATGACTCGCTGGTGTTAAATATCACCCGCCGTCGAAAATGTGCATTGCTACGTGACATCAGTAACATATAAGAAATTTCCCATTCAGTGATCATTTCACTCGCGAACATAGCAACTGTGTTTTATAATATCATGAAAATTTGAAATTTTTGGATGTCTTCATTGTTAAGGTATGAATTGTTGAAACTCACTTTGTCGTGGCGTTCAACGTTTAAATATGAGAAAATTTTCAGTTGATGTATTATTTAGTCGCGAGTAACGCGCAGGCGTATTTTATAAGAGCATGAATGTTTGATATTCGACTGAAAGTTTTCATTTTTAAGATAAGGCCATGCGTGGTTACAACAGACAAATTGCGCCTCAATTCTTCCACGGTTGTATAATGTTATATATATATATATATATATATATATATATATATATATATATATATATATATATATATATATATATATATATATATATATATATATATATATATATATTCTAGGACTCGCATAACACCATAATGGCATGAAAGAAACAAATATATGAAAAATACAAAAAAGCCCATGGCTATATGCTCAGTGATTTATATTACTTCCATTCCTTTTAGCATGATATGGCTTCATGTCCAACAACAAAAGTTGCCTTGCGTGTGTAACATGATCGCCTTTATGAGCGAAGAAATGACCGAAAGATGAGTGCATGAATAAAACTTATTTGATCAAATAAAATGACGAAAATCATGAAGGTGGTTCATAAAATTCAAACTCTATGCAGAAAAGCCCGCGGTGAAACAAGGCTGAGAGTTGATGAGAGTAATGCAGTCACGCATTGCTGTAGGCGACATAAGCTCGATAGATTAACAAAATAAAGGTTTTATGAGTTATGTTTGAACTTAAATAAAAATACATTATAGTGTTGGGAAAGCATTAAAAACAGCTGACCAAGATCACGTGACTGCCACTCTCATCCCCGTTTGATCCACGCTTAAGATTACCAAAATCTGTGGTTTTATATATAAAGTTGTGGCATGCCATTATTCTTGAACTTGATACTGTACCCATTACTGAAATATTTATTCACTTCTTTTGGTCAAATTAACCTTAAAATGGCACTGCGGTTGTACGCATTGATACGATCAGACGGTTATTTAACCAAAGATTACGAAACGTCGACTTTGTATGTTGATTTAATAAACTGCTTTTGAAAAATTGATCACATTTGGACGGAAGGTCACAAGTACACGTAGACTATAATTTGAAGTTGCTCCCTTGTGAAGGTAAGATCGTGTCATTTTCCCTTTGCGAAGACGCAAGTCGAAGGCTTAATAGCATGGTTCGTAGCGGTCTTTGAATTCCTTAATGTAACGGTTGTATATTTTGAAATTTTTAGACACTGGTGGTCGAAAATTAGACGAATCTTTTGAGAGTGGACAAAATTCTTTTAACAAAAGCGTTACGATAGACAGCAGTCGAGTCTCTTCGTTGGATAACATACGAACAATGTCAACAGTAATTGCAGCGGAAAGGTAGGATTTGGTTTCTACTTTACCTGTTGAGGCTATGTTAGGAGTCTGGGCAAACATTGTTTTGAAAATACCTGAGAATCTTCATTATTTCCTCAAATGTTTCTATGTTTGTCCATGCCTTGGGAAATAGTGTTCATGAACTAAAATGTTCAACGTTACTGGTCACGTGTTACTTCAGGAGGAAACGGAATAGAATCGGCGATGTTTGGTAAATTGGATTAAAAAACAGTTAAACTTAGTGTTGAAAGAGAACTTGCCTTTGAAAGAAAAACTTAATATTTTAATAGACACAGCTGTCAATGAAATTTTATTATCAATTGTTTTGTCTGCAGTACAAAGCAGTTGTGATGTGTGATCATTTTGTTAAATATAGAAACTTGTTCGAACTGTTCTCGGCAATAGCAGGGCGGTTGGAGAGGTTTCCGTGTAATACAGAGGTCACCTCGTGATAAATATGTATTTTCACTTAGGTTGCGAAGAACGCTCAAGTCTTTAGAGAAAGGAATTTATCCAACAATGGAAGATTTGCAAAGGCAGTTGACATGCATTGCCCTTCTCTTGGATTCCATATCCACTTCCGATGAAGAAAAGTGAGTTGTAATATTGTTGTCAAAGATAAAATAGTCCAGGCTAAGTATGTTATTAGGTAAGCGTTCATTCTCGTACTCAGAGCCCTTCTTACGCGTGGTGCGACGAGGGGCTCCGGCCAAATCCATATTCCGAACTGGCATCTGATTGGCTAGTTTTAACACCGGATATTGTTTTCTTACCATGTTTTTATGGTATCCGGTTATGGATTTGGCCAGAGCCCCTCGTCGCACCGCGCGTAAGAAGGGCTCTGGGTACGAGAATGGTAAGCGTTATACTTGATGTAAAGCGCATTTAATGATATCCACGTTGACCACGTGTAAGTTTGCGCTATTCTTCATTCATTTCTTGCCAGGTTCCTGCTGGGACGATGTGAGACGCCACGTGACAACAATAACCCGGATTTTGGTGAATGCGTTCCTACGGAAGTTCAGAAATGGCTGACAGCTACGTTCACGACTCAGTACCAGATCTCTCGGAATCCCGGTCGAAATCAGATCAGATTTAAACACGTCATATGTGCTGTGAAATGCAGTCTCTATGTTGAAAAGTAAGTGTCCTCTCAAAAATTGTCCGGCAATCAGGCTGCAAAAAATTCAGGCCGATCAATTAGCGCTGAGAGTCTAAGGGATGGACCACTATATATCCTGGGAGGGAAGGTATTTCTTGCAAGATTTTTTTATTCGGAGCTTTGTCGAATTAGAATTTGCTTTACATGCATTATTTTGGGATCTGCCTCCCCCCCCCCCCCCCCCCCAGGATATGTAATGTCCACCTAATCTCATTTCACTCACCGCTGTTCCACACACTATTGCGCCTAAATCTTTCCAATCCTCATTATAAATGTGTTTTATTCAAATGTTTTCATTACGTTTTTCAAATCTTGACATCTGCTGATTTCGCTGATAAATATCTATGCTATTTATACGTCGGTTTACATGGCGCGTCCTCTTTGTGCCGCGACCGAGCAGTTTATTTTATATCCAGTTTATAACTTACTAAACTTTCACATTGCTAACAATAAAATACTAAAAACTTTCTAAAATTTAACAACTATCGTTACACCCTGTTTCATGCCTTTAGCCAAACGACTGATTACATCCAATTCTATGTATCATTAATTGTATATATATTGTATGGATCATTCTTCGAAAAACAATGTTTAATTATTAAAATGTTTTCAACATTATTTGAACATTTAAAACAACGCAAGATTTTCAATTTCTGTAAAATATTTGTGACAGGATATTGAAGATAAAACGATAACTTTCAAATTTTAATATATTTAAAAAATTGGAAAAAAAGCAGTTCTAGTCAGTTTCACTGCCGAGTTCGCTGAAAAAGCCGTTCAATGCATGGTAGCATGTCTTAAGTGTGACTCTATATTATTTAAGTATTATAAAAAGCGTTTTTATACATGCAAACAACCTTATAACACAATTGAAAGTAGAATAGTTTGTAGTATTTTATATAAAAACCTTATCAAGGTCACATATTTATAGCGTTTTTTTTTACTTGGAAAAGAGTGATTTTCTCGTTAGATCTCCATGAGTGGTCCATGCATTAAATCTATATATGAGATCAGTGAGCGGTTCTTACTGCAGGCTGCAATTTGTTGATGAACCGCTTTCTCATCAACCTTGTCATATATGGATATTGAGTATAACTGTTCAAGTGTATACGTAATATCTTATATCGAATCTTATGCGCTAAAAAAAGATTTGAAAATCGAATACATGAGATTATTTTGAAATGCATTCACTTAAAAGGATCTCTTATCTAATACGAACACCTCTTATTAATACGAACATTTTTCTATTACGGGGGTTTCCAATCGTCTGACATACATATAGTTCTCCAATTTTCTTTCAAAAAGCCTCCACAAAACGGACGCATCTCCTAATATAGACATTTTGTCCAATCTCGCTCGCGCGCTCGGTGCTGTCACGTCACGTTGCTGTCACGTCAGCATATACAATATACGCACAAAAGTTTGGATTTTTAAATACGAGAAACCGTGTAATTCATGCGGGGTTTAGGGAAGTTGTACGCGTTCTTGCCATAGAAAGGAGGTCCACTTACACGAAACGCCTATAGTCATATACGATTCTTATCCTGGCATATGTACTCGAATAAATTCGTGTAAAGATGTCACATTTCAAATTTCGTCATAAAGTGATGAACAGGAATATAGTGGCGTCAGCAGTCGTTTTCATACGCCAGAATGACAATCGTACACGACTAGTTGCGTAAATGCAGGGCCTATATAAATCTTTAAAATGTAACCGATGGCGGTGCGGGGCTTAGGAAAGTAGTACACGCGTTCTTTCCATAGGAAGGAAATTTATTTTCCACCGCGTTCTCTGTGACGCACAAATCAGCAGTGCATACTTGTGACGTAGTATTCCCCCACACATAAACCTCGTATAGAATAAAGCTAGTGTCGGTGAGCGCTTAATGATGACGTGGCAATTTCCCCTCATAAACATGGCGTCAGATTATTGTTTATTCACACGCCGATAAGCAAACATGACCTCAAACGGTTAATGCTTTAAACTATAATATATAGGCGGCAAACAGATTTACGGAGTTTTTTTAAAAGCGTCGTTTAGTATAACACAGCTACTTAGGTTGTGTAGTATTATAGCGTTCATGAGGAAACTTAAAATGATGGCAGTTAAGTACGTTCGTAAAATTTAACATATTTCTTGACTTTATCAAATAATTGTTATTTATATCGCATAAGTAGACTTTCTAAAACTCATTGTAAGAAAATCACGTAATCTTATTAGCCTATATGCGTTCGCATGGCACTGAATGAAATGCGTAGTAATTCTAGTAAAAAACTGCTATAAGTGTTTCATTACCGTCATAAGGAAACTGGAAACTAATTTGCTCAGAAAAAATCTTTTCGCTTATTTGATTTACAGTTTAGTTTATTTGTTTAGTTGTCATTTATCATATCGTTTATATTTTCCACTACTAGTTTTAAAATCTGTTTGCCAGTATATTCTGGATAGTTTGGTTTTCACTATATAAGTGTTGTATCGTGCTGAATATGGTGGTAAACCAACACTTATGAGAGCGAGAAAACAATTTAGACAACTTTTCCTTGCTAAGGAACTTTGTTTCAATGCTAGTCATGCCGCCTTCTGCAAGGAAAATTTGTCAGTTTGTACGATCGCCAAGGAAAACCAGACAAGTGTACAAGAAATTCTTCTATGGTTTTGGAAAACCTGGCCTTGGCGTAAACCACAAAGATGAATTTATTCTAAAACAGTTTTATGTCTTTATGTAGAATCTACAAAGAAGTGTGTGGAATTAGAATCCCACCACTAGTCGAATCGTTACTGAAGGTATATATCATTCACGAACCTCTTTGGCCTGCTAGGAATAGTGTTACTGATATCTCAAACATGGACATTACGCTATATTGTGCTATTCTCTGTTTTAGACTGTGGATGATTGGACTTGTGACGTTTTGGAGATAGACAAAGCCAGCGGAGACCAAGCTTTGAGATTTGTTGGTTTTGAAGTTTTCAGTAAATATGAAATCACTGAAAAATTTAATGTAAGATCCGTTTTGTTCCATATAAAAGTTAGGGCTGGTGTAGAGACTGAAGCCCATTTTCCACTGGGCGAATTTGTTCCCGCAAAGCGAAAAACAAATCTTGGCAATGTGCTTGGTCAGCGGAAAAATTCGCCGCGAAAAAGTTGGATCAGTTCCTTCTTTTTTACTGTTCGCGCGAACAAATTCGCCTTGTGGAAAACGGCCTTAAGCTATAATTATTTATCAACTGGATAAATAATAAAATAAATAAATAAATAATAAATAATTATAGCACAGGATAGTTATATTAGATCTAAATTGTTCTCCCCAGTATTTCGGTATGAAGGCTGTCCCTTCATAGTTCAATGTTACTTCAGGATGAAACTGAAATATTCAGAGAAAATCTGCAGTGTACTGCAGTTTCCATCGGTAATAACACTGCATCAATAAAAGATAATCCTTACTGGATCTCTAGGGAGAATAGTTTAGAACTGACAGAGCTGTCCAGTATAAATAAAGTTAGTTTAGTTTAGGTTTCCTCCTGTAGTAAAACTGGATCAATAAGAGATGATCCTTACTGGATCTCTAGGGAGAACATGCAGTTTAGAACTGACAGAGCTATGCAGTATAAATAAAGTTAGTTTAGTTCTACGTTTAGTTCTTTTAGGTAGTTTAGTTCTTTTATTTACAAAAAGTGAAATTTCATTTTAGATCCCATCATCAATGTTAGATCATTTTCTGCATGTTGTTCAAACTGGTTATCTGAAATATCCCAATCCTTATCATAACCACTGCCATGCTGCTGAAGTGCTGCAGACTGTTCATTACATGTTGATGAAGCTGGATGCTGCGGTAAGCCACGGTCGCTTAATCAGGACACATCATCCGTGAAAGATGAGTAATCCGTCTGGGGACGATCTGTGTCTTGGAACAAATCATGTCTGATGGTATATTTCTATACACTGAAGAGGCATCATCTTTTATTTTAGATTGCTTTGACTGAAATTCAGATATTTGCCATCCTGTTTGCCGCCTTAATTCACGACTATGAACATACGGGAAAGACTAATTTGTATCATATAAATACAAGGTAATCTGCCTAATAAAGCATATTATGATTGACTGAGAAAAATAATGACATCACAGCCATCTATTAGAAGAACGGAATTATTGGAGTAATCATTTCTGTTTCACTGTACAGGTCGGAATTAGCAATGCTGTACAACGATAGATCAGTTCAAGAGAATCATCATATTAGCGCTGCTTTTTCACTTCTTAATAGGGTGAGTTTTATTTTGTCTAGATATTGAATATTGATAGTGGTTTACGGAAACAGAAATATGCTCAAAATACTGTATTCTCTTTTCAGCAAGAAATTAATATATTGGGAAATTTAAGTTCAACAGAATATAGGTGAGGAAATCACAGCGAATGCCTTTCTATAAATGATATTATTACATTACTTCTGTACTTATGTGACGGTTTAATTAAATCTCTGCATTCTACTCAATGTTCTTGTTTTGTTTCAGTGAGCTACGATCCTTGGTGATAAGTATGGTGTTGGGGACAGATATGTCCCTGCACTTTGAACAACTAAAGACAGTCAAAGCAAGTTTAGTGAGCACAGACATGTAAGGATGACCTTCATCATTTTTTTACCAACTAGCTACCACCATCATGAGTACAGTCATGAGTATCATCGTCACCATCAACCATCACCACCATTATATCATTACTATCAACGCCATCACCATCATCACTATCATTACCATCACTAGTTACATCACCAACAAACATCACCTTCAATACCATCATTATCACCACTATCATCACACCACCATTTATCATAGGGAACCACCATAGTTATCATCATCAGCATCACCACCACCACCATCACCACCACCATCACATCATCATCACATCATCATCACCATCATCACCATCATCATCATCATCAATTGCCACCATTATCACTACTATCATCACACCACCATTTATCATAGGGAACCACCATAGTTACCATCATCATCATCATCATCATCATCATCATCATCATCATCATCATCATCATCATCATCATCATCATCATCATCATCATCATCATCATCATCATCATCATCATCATCATCATCATCATCATCATCATCATCATCATCATCATCGTCATCATCATCATCATCATCATCATCATCATCATCATCATCATCATCATCATCATCATCATCATCATCATCGTCGTCATCATCATCAATTGCCACCATTATCACTACTATCATCGTGATCATTACCATCGTCACCATCACCATCATAATCATCGTTCCACTCCATTATAATCCCAACATTTTAACTAACCGCTGTCGTTGACCTATTTTAGCAGCACATTTGTGCCAACAAAATGCTTGCCATTTGTGCTACACTGTGCGGACATCTGTCACCCGGCTAAAGAATGGTCTGTACATAAGAAGTGGACAGACAGAGTGATGGAAGAATTCTTTGAGCAGGTATGAATTCAAATCATTGACAGATTTGAATCAAAGAATTCAAATCAACATAATCTTTCAGTCCGTCTTAGCTGATTTTGAATTTGCAATCAAGAAGAATATTCTTGACCTGGTTTCCTCCCGTAGTAACATTGGAGCAATAAACGGCCTTTACTACTCGTCCAGCCTTTCTGTTTAAGACGTATGTTCTCGTTTTCTAGGGTGATGCTGAAAAAGACTTGGGGCTGCCATTATCTCCACTTTGTGATAGAAATACAACAGTTATACCAGAAAGTCAAGTTGGTAAATAATAACTAGTTCAAATACTATCCATGCTTTTACTCAAAGTAAACGTTTTAGCTTACGTAAACGTTTAGTTGTTTCGCTATCCTCGAATCTCTTTTAAATGACATATCGTTTTCTGTAAGTAAAAAATCTTTGTCTTGCGTACCAGGTTTTATCAGTTTAATCTTGGCGCCCGCAATGGACGTCTGTGGTGATGTGCTTGATCGACTAAAACAGTTCGGAGAAGATAAATTGAACGACAACAAACTCGTGAAACAATCTAAAAGCTCTCCGCGAGAGTCGATCAAAATAGGAATCGGATTGCCGGACAACTTTGAAAGAAAGTGCTTTGTAAATAAAGTGTGGACGAAACATTTAGTTGAAAATCGTAAAAGATGGCAGGATCTATGTCATTCAGGTATGTTTAGGAAAATTTAATCCACTTTTAATAGTGAGTAATTCTAAAGTTCCAGATGTAATAACACTGAACCTGACTTTCAGGAATAATTGATATAGAAAATGTTAGTTAAATATAGACACACACGCATACAAATACAGATGAAAACATAACCTCCTGTAGGAGATAACATAGCTAGCTTTAGTTTAGCCCTAATGTTTTGTTATCTTTTGTAGAAATGCCATGATGTGAATATTTTTATGTTGAAGCATATCCCTCTGGCTGGTTCTCGAGGGACTTCACATTCCCATTAACAATTCATTCAATCGTAATGGTCCATTTACCTCGAAAATTTGGAGGACAATCAAGAAATATTATGGGACGCTTGCGTCCCTATCTAAGTTATTTACCAATGTTTATGAAATGGTCGCCCTACATTAAGACGTGTGCCAGTAGGAATAATTTTTACCTTTTGTGTTTCCATCTGGAAAAAATACTTATAGTTTACCGTATCTGGTGGAAGTGGGAAGCCTGATGAATGATGGAACATTCCCATCTCTGGATCACGACTGAATTTTGTTACCATCCAGTTTTGGAGTAGAAGTGTTTCAGGCTAGTAGTTTTATTAAAGAGTAAAATATGTGATACATTATTGAACAAGATTTACTTGCCTACCTCGAGTTGACAATTCTAGTTTGGAAATTAATATGTATTCGGTATTGGCGGCGAGCAAGAATATTATCTATTATTGGACACGTAAATTTTGTTTAAAAACGTATATCAGCTTGTATGCTAAAACTCTTAGACACCTCTACCCCAACGTTCAGTATTTTATGACGGGAAACTGTAAAAATTCAGTTAAGAGAAATAAATTAAGTAATTTGCTTTTGTAGCGTGTTGAAATGTATATATACAGAAAGGGAAAATAAAACACATCGCTCGGAGAAGCATAACAATTAAATTTCATTCATGCAAAAGTAGGGGGGGGGGGAGCGAGCCGGTAACTGGTCGTTTCGTCCCCTTGCCGTTTCGTCCCTAGACTAGATACTGTTTTATCTCTAACCTACTTCCTTAATGCAATATATCTTATACTTTTTGAGATTGTATCTCAGTGGATTGTATGCCTGGATAATACACATTTTTGTATTTAAATTCCGAAACTTTGAAATGAAACTTAAATATTTGGCTTTTATTTCACAATATTAATATTGCTGTTGTCAGTGACTATTATAGTGACACTTGACTTGACTTTATTTTAATTGGAACTGAGTCTGAGGAAAACTAGACCAATGACAGAATGACTGCTATTAGTGAGCTTAAGATCGCAATATTTTTCTCAACACGGGCGTCAGTTCGTCGAGTGGGACTGGATTGAAAACTGTGTTTTTGTCAGTTTGTGGTAATCTTCAACATATAGGACAAAACCTAAGATTTTTTAAGTTTTTTTTCTTCCTTAACTGCGACTCTGCTGCGACGTACCGGCGACGATGCCGGTGGTAGCTTAAAACGTAAATTATGTAAATATTTGTTCGTCGATTGCCTCCAGTGCCACAGTTACATCGGCGGTAGGCCGGGAAAGTTGACTTGAGTTCAACTTTGCCGGTATTTCGGCGGCAAGTAGAGGCATAATGATACAGTCGCAGGCATACCGCAGGCATATGTGAACCAGGCTTTAGACGAGCGCAATGATGCAAAATGTCGCCAAAATTAGTCCTACCAATTTTCGGGTGACGTCTGTGTTGGGGACGAAACGTGAAGGGGACGAAACAGCAAGGAGACGAAACGACCATAAAGCAGGGAGCCGTCTGTGTTTCCCTTAGCCTGCATGGCAGGCGGTATTTCTACGGGCAGCGAAAATTAGGGAAGCAAAGGAAATACCGTCTGCCGCAAAACTAGGGGTTTTTGAATTACCCGTCCGCTGGTGAACGGAAAAAACGGATTGGTTAGTATTTTTATGTAGTTGTCAATCAACGGCTAAATTCGGTTAAATGTTAATCATTAACCAAATGTTTTGACGTTTTGAAATTAGTTCACGTCAAGTCAGACCAGAAATGGAATACCATATTAAATAAAAGAAGCAAATTTAAAGGTGATCTACAGTCCCATCTGCGCATGTGCACAAAGGAGCCCACTTTTTATGATACAAACAGTTTAACTATATTTTGTGTTCTTGAAAAGCCTGATTATTGTTTCTTGATCATTTATTATACTCTAGAAGCTTGAAAATATAAATAGTTGTCGAATAAAGCTCAATATTTTGGACACAAAAATGTAAACAAAGGCTTTGTTTACATACGGACTGTAGAGCACCTTTAAAGATACAAGCTGAAAAATAACACTCTAAGTAGTGTTTTTGATAGCGATTCGTACAAGAATATTTAACAAAGAAGATACGTCCGAAGGGGCTGAAGTTATGATCAGCGAAAGGTATGGGCTAGTCTATATTTTCGTTCAGACAATTACATGCGTATTAATTTGATAATATACGATCTCGCTTGACTTTCAAAAACCATAAATCGCAATAATGTTGACATTTTACTAAAACTATCGATAGAAATTAGGAGATATTTCTTCACTGAATCGAACGGTGGGATTTTCATATAGGCCCGTCATGTTCTGAACCAAAGATACTTGATAAATATACGAACCTCCAAAGTATAATGAACTAGGGGCCGGTTGATGCAGTAATTATCAAATAACAGTTAAACTCTTATATACCCGTTGAATATGTATAGTTGTAAACAAATAAAAACTATCGTTCTATAAGGTTCAAAACTTTCAGTTTGGTTGTTGACTGATGATGAATCTATAGTATAGACTTGCATGCTTTGTATTTTGAGCTTATTAAACCACCGTTGTAAGGCAGCTAAACGGGCTTGGTTTATATTAACACATAAAATAAATTCCTTGATTCTCATCACTAGACACAGTCTACACTTTGAAATGTCAAAGTTATATTTTATATTTATATAATTTATATATCAATAGTTCGTATCTCCACGAACAATGACAGAATGACTGAATTTCTTTAAAATACAATGAAATTTCATTCAAAATTCTGTTTGTTTCAAATTGGAAATTTAAAATGGCAATAAAAACCCTATATAAAATATTTAAAAATTAACTGTCTTGAATTATTTTTTCGGGCGGTACATTTATATTGTATAACAAAATATACTGAAAACATTTTCACGAGGATTTTAAAATTCAGTCGGGCGCGCGGTGATGAGAATCAAGGAATTTATTTTATGTTGGGCAGTTGGGACTTGGGAGCAACTTGGGAGTGGCTAATTTTGAATATTTACTTAATGACATCTATAAATAGCTTTGATGCTTCACTCAGGGGCGGTAGTTCATTTACACCCAGTTTTGCGGCAGGCGGTATTTCCTACGTACCGCCTGCCATGCAGGCTATGTTTCCCTTGGAAATTTTTGTTTCCTTTGTTCTCTGATAACTACAGTAATATGTATAGCTCAGTTGGCTGCCTACCTCGTTCCCAGGCTTTTGGAATTGCTGTCGCCGCGTTGCTAGGCAACAAACATTTTCAACGTAGAACATGGACGACAAAGTTGAAGCGACGTTTTAGAGTAAAACTTTTTTTTACAAAATGCCGAAGAAATCAAAGAAAGGGAAGGCTGCCAAAGGCAAAAAAGAAAGGTAAATAGCTGTAGTTTATACCTAACTATTAGTTATAACTTATGCATTGTTAGAATAGCTTTGTTTGAGGTTTTTTGACCACGTTGTTTTGAGTATGCAGCCTATGCTATATTTGTTCAGTGAGTTGGGATATCATCCATATCCCAGGTATGTAATTATATTGTGTAAAATACATGCTCTGATACCTTAATTGTTTGTGTTTGGATGTGCATACACGAGTCTGCTTTGTTTATTATTATTACAAGGTTTGGCAAGATTTTTTACAGAAATTTAATATTACAACATGTACTAAAGTATAAATATTTCAATCGCAAATTACAAGCAATTATCTTCGGCATTTCAAACACTGGTAATTTTACTACATTCTTCCGAAGTTTTAACTTCAAAAGTTCATTCTTAGGATCTTCAAAAAAGTGAATTATTTTTGGGTTTTTGACAATATTTTGTCAAAACCCAGAGTGAATTTGAGGGTGTATTTCCGAAAGATCTTCGGCGCAGAACAGCGACTCGAACAAAGGTTGGCGCACATTTTTGGTGCAGATTGATTGCAAATATTGATTTGGCACAGAATGATCCCAAAGATCAATTTGGCAATGATTTGGTGAAGCAATTGAGCATTTATGTATAATTGTTTTTGTTTGTGGAAACACCACGAACAATGTGGTGTTTCCACAAACAAAAACAATTCCATTTTATCGCCATGCAAACATTCAAAGAACTCATTTATGTATAATAGTATATTTGAAATTATGATTTAAGAAGAATGAAAAGCCAAATTTCGAAAATTCAGTGAAAATTTCGGATATTTCCGAAAACCACATATTTTTTCGCAACAATTTTCTTGGCACAGGTTTTGGCGCAGCTTTACATGAATTCGAAAAATCTTCGCCGCAGAAAAATTGAGAGATTCACCCTCGGTCAAAACTATATGCTGGGGTCACCTACCCTGTGCTGATGTCATATTTTTTAAATCTTGCAAAAAAATTTTAAGCCCCACAATTTGCTTCTACAGTTATAGCAAGTGTAGTGCCCTATCCTGATATAAAAGTTCAATTAGTCCTAAGTACTGAACTGCTAGAGAATCTGAACAATCATTAGGCCATGCAAGTAAAAAAATTCCAGGTTTCTTATCAGACGTTTTTTAAAATGCAAATGCGGCAGGCTGTTTTTATTTTTATTTTTATCCAGTTATTTTTTAACAACAGAACTTAAATTGTTTAATAAAAACCACTATTCTACCATGTATATTTATTTAAAATATAGTATTTATAAAAAAAAACATGAGGTTGGTGGCCATTTGCATAAAATATTACACTGCTGACCACCCACCGCTAAATATTTCGTGTAATTGTTATTTATAAAAAAAAATACAAATTCGGGCACTGATGAGAAACCGGGAATTTTTTTCAGTTGGCCTTACTTCTGACATTTTCATGATCAACTTTCAATCTATGTAGTAAATCAAAAAATGTTGAAGCAAAGAAAGATGCAATTCTCAAAGATGCTACAGCGAACGCTTTATTTTGGGAAAGCAAATTGGAATCATCAGAAAGAATTAAAAAGGAATACCGAGACAATGCAAAACAACTTCTGGTTGAAAATGAAACTTTACAAACTAAGCTCAAACAAGCAGAGAAAGATACCGTCCAAGTGATCTCATTTCTTAAAGATGAAGATATCAAGAAGCAAGAACAGGTACCTCTTAAGTCGATTTATTGTTCTTTCTCATACTGCAGATAATTGTACTACACACATAAAAAAGATGTGTTCGCAACAGGCTTGTAGCAATTAAGCTTGTCAACAAGTTGTAACAATCTACTAACTTGTGACGAAGGGCCTTCGCTCGAAACGTCGAGTTTCTGCTTATTTTTTAAGGTAGTAATATAACCACTCAGCACAGCATTTTCACATTGGTACTACCCACACTGGTACAGACAGTTTTAGTTGTTATTTTATTTATCAACTTGCTATAAGGTTGTCACTCACAACTTGGTGACAAATTGTTGAATTGCAGGACAATAACAGGTTGTTGGAACAATTACTTGTAACAAGTCTGTTAAGCTCAACATTGTAGCAAGTTATCAACAAGCCGTTGACAAATTGTCAACAAGCCAGGAACAAGCACATCCTGTTGAAAAATTGTTGGAAAAGCATTGCTACAAGTCTGCTGCAGGTTTTTCACAACTTTGCGGTTTTACGTGTGTATATAGTTAGAGTAAATTTAAGGCTGCAGTGCAACCCAATGGGTTGAGTCCTAATTAGTGAAAATATAAAATCTTCCTGTGATTACAAATTTACTAAAAATAAACAAATAACATTATTTAGATTGTCAAATCTGAACAACAATTTAAAGAATGTAAAAAGGACTTAACATTACAAAAAGATAAATTGGTAAGTGCCTTTCTTACAGCTCTTAATTAACATTTGATTATTTTTTATTTTGATTACTGCCCTCGGCTTATATGCCTACATATGGATTTAGCATTTGCATGACATATTAATAAAGGTGCTAATTAATGTATTAAGGTTGTTATTTTTATAGATTGAAAAGTACACACAACAGATCCGTGAATTGGAAGAAGCTTTGGATGAAAAGAACAATGAGGTGATATTACATACACTGACAAATAGGCAGTTGCGATATATCGATATTTTCGATAAATACCAATATTTCAAAAATATCGATATTCGATATTCAAATTTTCAAGAACAACTTAATCTCCGATTATTCGGCAATTATTGTTTTCATCGGTGAAGTTTAGAGAAGGGGGTAATGGGGTATTTTCGTGCTGCGTATTGGGGTAATTTAATTATTCATTCTTCGTTCAGTCATCTTTTTATTAAACGTTTTTCGATCCCGACATGGATGCCGTGTATCGTGCTTGCGGTGTATTCAATATCCGTTCTCCGTTTTCAGCTGTATTTAAGACGGTTATTTCTCGTTTCTGGACAATATATTCCATTAATTTTGTTTCTGGATTTTAGCTATGTTTTGATTGGGGAACGCAGGTTTCAAAGTTTATATAAATCAGGAACATCGACGCAATTGTAAACAAATAGGTGAACACACCGCCTAGTACAGACTGTTTATATTCACCTTTAAGACTTCTAAGTATGATTGTTGCTTACATTTCATGTTCACTTTACATTTCAGATTCGTAATAAATTTATTTTACGTGCTTCAGGACTTCCTTCTTTTATTTTCATGCTTCAAGATCGCTGCATTATTTTTCGTGCTTCAGGATCGGTACCCCCATTACCCCCCTCTTTAGACAACATGTGTACAGCGGCAATTGCGAATTTATGATACAAGTGCGTGGGCAATTGAAATTAGGGATGAGCCAATTAATTGTCCGTTTTTTAAATAATTGGTAATCGGCCGATTATTGCCTGATAATCGGCAAATAATCAGTCATAAGACTTTTTCTGCAGCTGCCAATCACATGCTAAAAAACTGAATACAAGCGAATATATTTTCACATTTTGTTGCCAAACCTGTGTCTTTTGTCTCAAACCTGTGTCTTTTGTCACAAACCTGTGTTTTTTGTCACATTTCCACTAAAAAAACGCAGCAGACTAGCTCCGCATAGCTGACAGTGTCTTGTTTTTACACCATAATCTGCCAAAACTAAACTTTCACTATTGACATGAGAGACTGAAGCTGTTTTTAATTGTACAAAGTGTGTATTGTAAACAATAAAACCGCATTTACAACTTCATTGTTGGTCATCTTGTGATTTTTCCCTTGCTTTTTAAAATAATCGGTGGGTATCGATTAATCGGTGGGTATCGATCAATCGGCCGATTAGTTACAATAATCGGCTTATAAATAATCGGCCTCAGTAATCGGCAATTTTCCTTATCGGCTCATCCCTAATTGAAATTAAAAGCTGAGTTGGAGATGTTGGTAAACCGTAGTTAATAAATCTTTAAGACGTACCATGACTGGTTTCATGCACTTCTTTTTAACTGTTTGTGATGCGTATACATGCAAGTTGACTAAATTACGTTTTCTCATTTGCATTATTTGATATAGTCGATATTATCGATATTTTTTTCCGATATCGACATATCGATTTTTTTCAATATCGCAACTGCCTACTGACAAAAAGTAGCAATTATAACAAATTATTATTTAAGGAGTGGGTTTTGACCATTTGGCAGACTACTTTTGGTAACAGGATTAACCTAAAAGGATACATTTTCTTCTTTGTTAGGTGCGACTAATTCAATCTGAGTTGAGACTTGTGAAAGAATTTCGTAAGAAAAGAGCACAGATGCAACGTGAGTTAGATGAGGTACAGTATGTACATTTATTTTGCATGTGAACAACAGCCATCAAATATGATGAAACTATTGTTATTGAAGCATTGTCCTATTTGACATGTATCACTGTATCAACAGATTGCAAGACAATTATGTTGTAATATACAGCGTAAATTAGGGCCCCTTTTTCATCGCAAATGACAACAAGTTAGAATTTGAATCATAAATTTTGTAGATCAAGGACAACATGTTTACAAATGAAAAGACACACAAAAGCATCTTGGGTAACATGGAACAGAAATTTTTTGAGGAGAAGGTATGATCAGAGAAAAATTCACAATGCTAGCTTTCATTTATCTAATATATGCCAGACCATTTTGCTCTGAGCTATTACTCTAGGGGATTGTCTTGAACATCAAGCATTTGAATAAATAATTAACACCAGATGATTTTACTCATCCAGGGGAGATTGCTGGGACTCAATGGTTGAGCATGGATTTAACAAACTGGGCAAGTTAGTAGATAAAATGAAGTAATAAATTCCCTTGTGTTTATAGATTCGCTTGCAGCAAGAATCAAACAGAAAAATTGCAGAATTAGCAGAAAGAGCTCATTCCGAAGCTGTAAAGTAAGTCATGAGTGACTTCACTTTAAGAGATGTACAGTCTGTTATGTGCATAATTTATATACATTGGAGTTTCCTGAGCTTGTGATACAAATAATGGTTTATTAACTAGTTTCTATGTTAACTCTTGCCTGTAGTAACCTTGACGAGACCACTCGCTCGGTCTACAAAGAAAACATCAGGATTAATGCTGCTCTTGAGTATCACATGGCAGAATCCAAAGGACTTAAAAAGGTTCAGGCATTAATGTAACTGTTAACTTAAAACAGTCAGTATTTCACAATTTGAATGTGCTGTACTTTTGCATTGAATATTAGTGATTTTTTCTTGCAGAGGAAAGAGCACCTGGAAGTTGAAAAACGAGAATTAGAAAATGATAACGTAAGTGAAGTATACCTTTATGAAATACAACTACATCATTGCCATCATCATCACCTTCATTGCGATCACCATCACTAGCTGTCGTCATCACCATCGTTATCATTACACCACCATTACCTTCGCTACCACCATCAATGCCACCACCACAATCATCACTATAATTGACAACATCACCATTATCATCATCAGACCAACATTAATTATCCCCATAATCAACACCAATATCATCATCAGGGCAGGTGTCAGCTGTCATGACCACCAACATTAATTATCATCACCATAATCAACGCCAATATCAACACCATCATCAACTCATCACGACTATCATCATCAGGGCAGCTGCCAGCTGTCATGACCACCAACATTAATTATCATCACCATAATCAATATCAACACCATCATCAACTCATCATCATCACCATTGTCGAACAGTAACTGTGTTGAATGACCATATATTTCTTCTCACTTTATGAAGGAGTTGAATGGAATAATAGTTCAAGAAAAGGTTGTTGAGTCTCAACATCACAAGAAAATGATAAAAGAGGTACAGTAAGTACTCAGGGGTTTTTTTCTCAGGATTTTCTCTTGGGTCCGTTTTTGCAGAGAAGATTGAGTTTAGCTGAACAGCTGGGGGTCTGGGGTAGTTGCGGGAGGCTGACACCTGTACCCAATAAGTGTAGTTGAGACGCAATGTGTTAAAGCAGACATTATAAACTGGTTAAAGATAGAGAATGCGTTGTTTTTCTTGTGTTGTGAAATGAATTCCAGCCATTTTTTATTTATTTATTTATTTATTTATTAACTTTACAACCATACATAAAATAGACTAAAACACTACATAATATGGTTGAAGGTATGGTCAACAGGACATGAATAGCCCCATATGAAGACCAACCTTAATGATAACAAACTATAACAAACATAAATCAAAGACGATAACAAATATAAAATTTACAGAAAACATGACGAATTACGAACAACAGCTTAAGTTGAAAGAGCGGCACTTAGAACAGAAGGTTTTCCATTTTCTTAATTGTCGTGTTTCCAACTGAAAACTAATTTGCACATGTCATGAATTTAACTCAAACAACTTCATTTTTACTGCACTGAATCGTTTGGTGAGAAGATTGAGTTTCAAAACTCAATTCAAGATTGAGTTTTTGGGGCCGTTTTACGGTCTTAAAAAATCCCTGAAAAAAACCCAGAGTATTGTAGTTAATTGCTTGAAGGTCACAGGTTTGATTCCTGAGATGATTAATAGGTCTAAAATTGCAAATATCCTTGAGGCAATAGTCTGTGTGTATGTTCTGTAATTCTACAGCATTCTAAAAAATATCTTCTCTGTCTTACAGCTGCAAGAAAAAGTAGAAACGCTTGAAAAGTCATTGAGTCATGTAATTCGTGAATTTGAAGTTGAAAGAATGGCCATTGTTAAAAAGTCTGGAGATGACAACAAACATGCATTGTAAGTACAGTATAAGACACAGTTGAATGTATAAGTAATTAATAGACAATTTATGTTTGAATTTCAATTATGTGGATTGGTTCCAGTGCCAAGACCAAAATGAATAGGTAGAACCTACTGTAGTTTACAAGTTATCATATGATGTTCCAAATTCATCCATTATATTTTTTCAGTACAATTTTAGTATCTTTATCTTGCAGAGCTGAAATAGCCCGGTTGACAAAAGTTGTGGAACTGAAGACAAAGGAAATGAACCGTGTGAAACGTCTGGCAAAAAACATTCTGGACCAGGTTTGCATTATTGTTTATTTTAGTTTACAAAAATATAAATAGTTAACAATTTATAAGCTAGAACATATCATGTCTAAAAATGAGACTGTATTTGAACTGGAATCTTTTACGTTTCAGAGAAGCGAGATTGAACATTTCTTTTTGGATTCTCTGGAGTGTGTTAAAAATGAGATTGCAAAAAACAGGTATAGTGCATAAATATAGGTTGATGTGTGATAAAACTCACCACTGCATTGTCCGCATAAAGTTGACCCGAGCCGATATTGACCATGACAGAAAATGTTTACCCCAAAACGTAGGATCCCAGATACTAGGGGTGCACCGGATTTCAAATCCGGCCATTTAACGAATTTTCCGGCATCCGGCCGGACTTGGAGAAAATCCGGCCGGATTTAAATTTCTGTTTTCACCTTAAAAAATTCACCAAGAATGGGATAAACCATCAATTTGGCAGCTTTAAAGTTTAAAAAACACTTATATTATTATAAAATATTAAGTTATTAACAAAAATATATTTGAAAAAGGTTTAAACACAATCAAAAATCTAAACTGACACTAACTAAAAATAGTAAAAAACATAAACCTCCATTTTGAATACTGATTTATCCCCAATTGTCCCCATTACCAGTTTATCTCAAATCCGGCAAATCTGGCCGGAATTTTTGTCCAAATCCGGTAAATCCGGTTCCGGCCGGATTTGAAAATTCCAAATCCAGTGCATCCCTAAATATATTATTTCCTGCTATATTCTGTGGGAGAACTAATCTAGACTGAAGCAATGAAATGAAGGATAAAGTTAGCTAACTCTGTATGTATATCCTTTTGTAGAAGTCACTATCGTAAAGATGCGCAAGCAGCATACCAAGAAAGAATGCTAGCCGCACACAGCGGTCGAGGTGATTATCCAAAAATCAGAACATTCAACCAATGGAACACTAGCACCAACAGCGTATTTCATGATCTCAAAGAGGCAGAAACATGGACAGGACTCGAAGACAAGGTTGATATTTCTGACTTAACATGGGAACAACGTGAACGTGTCCTTAGACTGCTGTTTGCCAAACTCAATGGTCATAAGAGTAAACACAGGTAATGTTGCAGGCAGGTTTTTTTTTGTAAATTTTCAAAACATGTTTTTATCTGTCCAAATTACTAATTGTTTTTGATGAGTGAAATTGTTTTCGACAATTTTCAGAATGTTTGGAGTGGTTAATGGGCACTTTTTAATTTTTTAAAAATTTTTCTGTGGTCTACCCAGTGAACTCTAAGAGAACTGGAACGATAACTTGGCGGCCATCTTTGAAGCCACTCATGACGGCCGCCATGTACGGAGTGGAAAATACGCCGCCTAAAAGATGTCTGTTTTCGACAACTAAATAGCTGTATTTCAACAAGGAAAAAAGCTAAAAACTTTCAACAATACTTGAAATTTAATACAAAACATGTTTCCAGAACGTAGACCAGTTATAAAGTTCTTTTTTCAGGAGTCAAAGTGCGAAGTTTTTTTCGGCACGTTCAAACTTGTGTAATATTTTGAATATCAAGCTATTACCCAGGAGGTTTTTGCTGTTAGTGGATGTAAAATTTTGACTGAATTTCCCGCTCCTCGAAACTCCCCAGTCCTTTTGAAAGTTAATTTATTGCTCGCCGAGCTTGCGAGAAGCGCCATCTTGGCTTCAGGCAAGTATGGGCATGTTTATCTGGAGTTAGCGTTCCAGTGTTATTACAGTTCACTGGGTCTACCCTTTGGTCACCCTAGGGTTGCCTGCGGTTCCCCTTTGCATTTTACCAAAAATCTTTAAAACCTGTTTTTATCAGTGAGAAACTAATTGTTTTGACAAGAGAAATGGTTGTCGACAATTTTCAGAAAGTTTAGAGTACTGGTTCATTAACCAGAACTTTTGAATTTTTAAAAAATTTCC